CATTCATCTACTGAGGGGCATCTGGGTTGGTTCCATATCTTAGCTATGGTAAATAATGCTGCAATAAACATAGTTGTGCTGGTAGCTTTAGTATCTACCCTTGTTTGTGATCATTAAAACAATCAAAATTTTACAATTATGTTTCTGTAAGGTGACTATTAGAAGTTAAATTTCACAATTATAATGTTAATTTTATAGGAATGATGTACCTTCTCTACTTTGTCGTCATCTTTCTCCTTTTCTTTTTCTCTCTCATCCATTTTTTCAGAAGACAATACAACCATGTTAAGTTTTCTAACAATTTGCTTAGCTTCCACAATTTCTCGTTTATGTTCATCCATAATGCAACTATCAGCTGGAAGAAGCTAAAAGAGATTGATTAAACTTTTATTAGCAGCTAATAAACTTTCTTATTCAAAAATCAAAAGCTATTTTCAACTGATATAAGTCTAGTCCATTTGTGACTATGATTTTTCTTCTAAATAAGTGTCACCGGGGGGAGGCTGGGAAGGGATGTGAAGGGTAAACAAAGGAGGAGGCTGCAATGCTTGATAAGAAATGTACTCATTATCTTGCCCATGTAATTGTAACCCCTCTATACAGTATGTTCACAAAAAATAAAAATTTAAAATAAATAAATGTCACAACTATTGGTAGTATTTAAGACTTTGGAAATATTTTTAAATCAGGTAGCAAAATTTTGTATGCTCTTTATGTTAAAGATCCTGAAATAATATAACAATAATGTTTACCACTGAATTCATAAATTTACCCAAGAAAATATTTACGTGTTCTACTGAAAACACTGGAAATGTCACTCAGAGGTAGACTACATGCCTAGTTAGTTGCAAGGTCCTGTACACACACACACACACACATACACACACACACTAATCCAAACCCCAAACCATGTATTTTTCCTTGAAATTACAGCCAAATTCCACACACACACACACACACACACACACACACACACACACACACTAATCCAAACCCCAAACCATGTATTTTTCCTTGAAATTACAGCCAAATTCCAAATTGAAGTACTGCACATGGATTAAATTTAAATTGTTAGACGTGAACCTTCCAAACAAAAAAATGTCAAGTTGGGGCTGGAAATGTGGCTTAGTGGTAAAGTGCTTGCCTAGCATGCATGAAGCCCTGGGTTCAATTCCTCAGTACTACATACACAGAAAAGGCCAGAAGTGGTACTATGGCTCAAGTGGTAGAGTGCTATCCTTGAGCAAAAGAAGCTTGGGAACAGTGCCCAGGCCCTGAGTTCAAACCCCAGGACTGGCCAAAAAGAAGAAAAAAACCTGTAACTTTTTTATCCTTTATTCTAAATTAAGCTAAAAATGAAGTATCTACATTTTTACGAATGAGAAACTAATACGTGTATACTCCACCCTCCACTGTGAGGAAGACTCAAGTATCTCAATACAGTTCCCTTTTGAGTGTGTCTGTGACAGTTACTGTAAACATTTTATGTAATAACCCTGACACAAGGAAAATTACAGTCAAAACACTATTAATAATTTCTGCTAGAAGCAATAGTGAACTACAAGATAAATGTTTCTATCTAATAGAAATGGATAATCTAGCCTGGCACTGGTGGCTCCTGCACCTGTAATCTTAGCTACTGGGGAGCCTGAGGTATGAGGATCAGGGTTCAAAGCCAACCCGGGAAGGAAGGTCTGTGAGACTCACCTCCAATTAATCTGCAGAAACCAGAAGTGGCACTGTGGCTCAAAGTGGTAGAGTACTAGCCTTGAGCAAGAGTTCAGGGACAGCACTCAGGCCCTGACTTTAAGCCCCCCACAAAAAGACAGTGCCCAGGAACGAACACCCACACCCACACCCACACCCACACCCACACCCCCACACCAAGAAGCCTAATACAACAATTAAATTTGGATTGTCTCCATTAAGACATGCCGTGTACACACACACACACACACAAAAAGCCAAATACAACAATTAATCCTGGATTGCACACACACACACACACACACACACACACACACACACACACACATACACACACACACATACACCCAAAAAGCCTAATACAACAATTAAATTTGGATTGTCTCCATTAAGACATGCTGTGCTGCTGATTAAAGCAACTTGAACTTTTTAATTCACCGTTAAATCTACAACTGGCCAAGGAATTAACTCACTTTACAAAGTAAACAGAAATTAATAGTGCAATTATGTCTTCATAAACTAAGAACTGAGCACCTGGAATCAATCATGGAATATTATATTGTTACCTACTCCTCTTCCCTCCCCTGGTATGGACAACCAAATATTCTTTGCAGCCCAGTTGAATTGACTTACATGTACGTAAAGATCATCTAAATCAATAAGATTAAATTGTAGAAGTACAGCTGCAACTCTGTATAAAGATGATGGAGTCTCACCACTTGGTTCCTTAAAAAACAAAAGAATAATTTCTACTTAGAGTAACAACAATTTAAATCATATCTTTGCCTCCAATAATTAAGAACAATTATATCTAATAACTCAAGCATAAAGTTAAATGTTCTTATCAAAATTAAATCTATTAAACATCTGAATTCAGGATAAAACTGGTTATGTCAGCATTCCTTTCAACATTGAAAAATCTGATGATCACAAAGAAATCAATTCTGGAAAGATACCTTTAAAAAACTTATTTTTTATTGTTATAAAAGGAATGTATAGAGGGTTAGTGTTATAGACAACTTTTAAAAGCACATTAATATTGGAGTTAATTTCAATATTCATGTTTGTCTATATTTGTATGTGTAATTTCTTCACTCGTTTTTTCAAGTAGTTCTCAGTGAACATGCAAATAGAAGTGAAAGGATAAATGTGGAAGTACAAAAACTATGACTTTGCTTTGTACTTTTTCCTTATACCTTTATTTCTTGGATTTCATGTTACATATATCTACATGTATACTAACTTCCCCTTTTAAATAAGTGTCTATACACATTCAGATGGCTAAATAGACTTTTTTTTGCCAGTCCTGGGGCTTACACTCAGGGCCTAAGCACTGTCCCTGAGATTCTTTTGCTCAAGGCTAGCATTCTACCACTTGAGCCACAGCACCACTTCTGGCTTTTTCTGTGTATGTGGTACTGAGGAATCGAACCCAGGACTTCAGGCATGCTAGCCAAGCACTCTACTACTAAGCCACATTCCCAGCTCCAGACATTTTCTTTCTTTTGTATTTATTTTTTAAAAAATTTTGTCCTGAACTCAGGCCTGGGCACTGTTCTTGAGCCTTTTGCTCAAGGATAGTGCTGCACCTCTTGGACCATAGCTCTACTTCCAACTTTGTGGTAGTTTATCTGAAATAAGTGCCTCATAGACTTTCTTGCCTAGACTGGCTTTGAACAGTGATCGTCATATCTCAGCCTGAGAAGCTAAAATTACAGGCATGAGCTACCAGCTTCTGGTTAAATCAATATTTTAAACTACAGAATATTGAGGCAAATTCTAGTCCAGCCACGAGGGCCTTACAGAAAAACAAGGATCTTCGAATGCTATCAACATTAAAGCTAAGTTTTAAACTGCTTGGAGTCCATGAGAAAAAAAAATCAGAAATATCTAAGTGGTCAAATGCAAACAAAACTCAAACACTGTTATTTTGCTCAACACTAAAAATAAAACCTGTCTTAAAAGCTCTTTCCACAACTGGGATGGGGATTATCAACAAAAATAGGAAGCTCTACAAACTAGACTATTTTGATGGGGGCATTTATTCACTTTTTTTTTCCAGTCATGGCACTTGAAATCAGGACCTGGGCACTGTTCGAGCTTTTCTACTCAAATCTAGTGCTCTACCACTTTGTGCCACAGATCCAATTCTGGCTTTCTGTGGTTAACTGGAGATAAAAGTCTCACAGACCTTCTTGACCAGGCTGGCTTTGAACTGCAATTGTCAAATCTCAGCCTTTCATTTCTGACTTGCAATTAACTTCAGACTCACTATCAACCTCCTTTGGACCCTACTCTCTCTGCTCTCTCTTCCCACCCCCTCTTCTTTCTTCCCCCCACCCCTCTCTCTGAAATAGGGTTTTCCTACCTATGTTTTATAGGCTAGTATTCACCTCCTAAATACAACTACCTCTCAAGAAGCTGGGGCTACAAGTACATAGCACCATGCCCAACATACACCTTTCTTAAATTTTGGAGATCTTCATACGCATACAGGCCTTTCAGTTCCTCAAACTCCTTTCTTTCAAAAATCTTCTCCTTGACACTATCCTAGTCATTCGCTCTATATCCAAAACTTTACTATTACCCAAAGCAACCACAAACTTTACTATTACCCAAAGCAACCACAAGTGTATGACTGTAATATTCTAGTCGTCTCTTCCACTATAGTCAACACTTTCTTAAATGTCTCATCCCCTCTTTTCTCAGATGATAATTTGAAATTCTGTGAAAAAAATAGTGACTGCTGAGTTTCTCCAAACTCCCACAATCACACTTAACAACCATACTTAACTGCACCTACATATGCTACCTCCATAGCTATTACAGTTGAAGTCTCTGCTCCTAGAGTCAGTCCATCTATTACAGCACTGAATCCCATGCTATTTTCTAATTCTTTCCTTTCTCTCCTACTATAACCAGTTTCACTCTTTCTGCTCAATCATTTCTAGCAGCGGACAAATCTGTTCTCTCTCCCAGTATTACAAAAAGGACTTACTTCCTTGAGTTCACTTTACCTACCATTTACCAACCCATTTGTCTGCACAGAGTTGTTGATTCTCCCTGTCTCCAATTCCACTATTTCTATTCTGTTAAATATAATAAATTTTACTAAAACAATCAATTTTGGTCTTCTTTTAACATAACTGCATTCATCAAGTTTCAGACTTAAATGATAGGTCAAGCAGAGCACAAGCAGTTCTTGTATATACTAGGTACCAAGGGAACTGAGATCTAAGGATCTCAGTTTGAAGCTAGCACAGACAGAAAAGGTCTGAGGGTATATATCTGATAAATGTTCATAATGCTGGACTGGAGGCATGGCTCAAGCAGTACAAGTCCAGCTATGAGCAAAAAAGCTGAATGTGAATGCAAATCTCTGAGATAAATCCCTAACACTGGCACAAAAATAAATAATATCAAAACATTTGACAAAGTTTATCTTTTCTTCCTCCATTTAGCTTCCAAAATGCCACATTCTGCTTGACTCTTACTTTACATGTTGTTCCTTCTCCACCGTTTTTCCCCCCTATTTTCTGAGACAAGGCTTCACTGGCCTGAAACTCATGATTCTCCTGGCCCAGCAGTGCTAGGACTAATGGCACAGCTACCAAATCCAGTTCTTCTCTTCTCTTTCTTCCTGGTTCTGCTTCTTCTGCACTACCCCGTTAATACTGATGTATCTCAGAGATCCATCACTGGTTCTCTTAATCTTCCTATTACAAATCTGTGGTAGTTTCTTCTGCATCACAACTTTCAGTAGTATTTATATGCTCTTGATAAGATACATTTCTATTTGTAGTCTTGATATTTGTTCTAAAACACCAGATTCATACATCCAGCTATTTACTCAGATCTAGTTACCAGACTCATATATCAGTTATTTATACTTGGATACCTAACAGATATATCAAACATAACATAATCACAACTGAATTATAGATTGCTGCCTACAACATCCGATTCTACTGCACCTGAAAGTCTTCCCATCTCAGTTGATAATAACACCATCATTTTAATTATCAATCCAAAAACCTTCAAAATATTCCTTAACTCAACTTTCTCATATTCTCTATTTGACCCACAAGCAAATACTGGGAATACCTTCAAAATGTATTCATACGGGCTTGGAAGGTGGCTCAGTGGTAGATTGCTTGCCTTGCATTCATGAGGCCCTGGGTTCGATTCCTCAGCACCACATAAGCAAAAAGAAAAAAGCCGGAAGTGGCACTGTGGCTCAAGTGGTAGAGCACTAGCCTTGAGCTGAAGAGCTGAGAGACAGCGCCCAGGCCCAGAGTTCAGGCCCCACGACCAGACCCCCCCCAAAAAATGTATTTGTAATATCATCAGCATACACTGCTACCATAATCAGATAGATCCTTTGAAAACTTAAGTCAACACAAATATATACAGGTGCTCAACAAACTTGCATTCTCGTTCATTCTCATTCTTATTCTCCTGCCTTCTTCATCTGTCCCACCCGTCCCTCTCACTACTCAAGTTAGGATTAAAGGTTGCTTCTACAAAACCATTTCATTCCAATACCTGGTCATTAAATGAAGAAAATTAAAGCACTTATCCTGACTTTCTAGTAAGCACTGCATTTCAGGGAAACCAAATGACTTTAGCTGACAATGGACAATTCTTCTGTTAAATAAATACAGCTAATAGATATAGAGGGCATGATAAAATTGATTATGTCAGCAATTTAAAACCCTTAAGGGTTAATCTATAGATTCTAAATTATTCAACGTAAGGTGGATGATAAAGCAGACATTCATATTGTGTCAAAGTATCAACATACAGATACCTTGCAAGTGATGAGATTGAACATAACATAATGAAGAATCAGATTATCATTAACTTACTGAACCATTTAAATATAAACATTAAATATTATACAATATGAAATACATATAACTTGTAAAATACTTAATTAAACCAACTATGAAAAAGTAATTAGATAATCCAAAAGATACTATCCTCTAGAAAATGGTTTCATCAACAAATCAAGATCAATAATTGACAAAGGAGGAGGCAACAATGCTTGATAAGAAATGTACTCATTACCTTGCTCATATAACTGTAACCCCTCTGTACAGTATTTTCACAATAAAAAACTTATTAGAAAATAAAATTAAAATTAAAAAAAGATCAATAATTGGATGCAGGGCTATTGTGATTTAAAAAAGACTGAAATATCCTATGCTATCTGTCATTTTGGATCATCGTGTGTGCATGCACGCATGCACGTGTGTGAGAGAGAGAAGGGGGAGAGAGAGGAGGGAAAGAGAGGGAAGGGGGGGAGTGTGTCCTGGAATGTTCCTGAAATTGTGGGCTCAATGCTAATACTCTACTACTTGAGCCACAGATCCACTTCTGCCTTTTGGTGGCTAATTGGGGACAAGACTCTCAGACTTTTTTGTCCAGGCTGGATTCAAACCAAGATCCTCAGATCTCAACCTTCTGAGTAACTAGGATTACAAGGTATAAGGCACCTGTGCCCAGCTAGAGTCATCATTTGAACAGAGCAGCTGTGAACTAATACTGTAAAATATTATAAAATCTAAACATGGTCTAGTTTTCTTATATGAGAGTAACTTAATTTGGTATGAATTGACAGCATGGTTAAATAAAATAATGTCCTTACTTTAAAGCGAAGTAGAAAGGAAACCTTTTTCTCTGCCAATGACCTGTTGGATATTCACAATATGATTTGAAATTCATAGAAAGGGGCTGGGAAGGTGGCTCAGTGGTAGAGTGCTTGCCTTGCATACATGAGGCCCTGGGTTCAATTCCTCATCACCACATAAATAGAAAAAAAAAAAAAAAGCCTGAAGTGGCGCTGTGGGGTAGAGCACTAGCCTTGAGCTGAAGAGCTGAGGGACTGTGCCCAGGCCCAGAGTTCAGGCCCCATGACCAACCAAAAGAAAAAAAGAAGAAAAAATGAAATTCATAGAAAATTATCAATAGAAACAGCTTTGGTCATCCAAGAAGAAGCACACATGTCTGTCCCATCATATACCAAATGTTTTGCAGGCATGGCCCACCAGCAAAAAATTTCCCTAATTTTTTTTCATTTTGTTTTTTTTTTCCTAAGATCAGACAAGATCCAGCTTGTTTGCTGTGATATACCTGGGCTGGCTTTAAACCTTGATCCTCAGATCTCAACCTTCTGAGTAACGGGTTACAGGCCTGAGCCACCAGCACCTAGCACCCTCTTCTAAACAGTATCAACTTCAATATTAAGGAGAAACTGTCACAATAAATATAATATAAATTAATATTATAAAAAATGACTATGTGTTAGTGAACTTAATTCTAGGTTATGAAGTTATAATCAAATATATCACTTAGTCTTTTCTATATGTCTGCAAATGCTTATAATAAAATAAAAACCTATGAGAGAAACATAAGGAAAAGCTAAGGTAACATCCATCTCCTACCAGAAACCCTCCATGGGTTCCATATAACATCAAAGTTAAAAACCCTGCACTAATTCTTATGATCCAACCGCCATCATCTCTGATGTAGCTACATTGGTCACATTTTACGACCATAGTACTAGCTATTCGTTTTGTCTAAGGCTGTTCAATAGACATCTGCACAGTTTACATTCCCACATTCTTCAGATCTTTGCTTAAATCATAGCTTTTTAATTATTTTACTTAAAACTGCAATCTGTAAGTCCAGGACTCATTCTCCTTATCCTGCTGCACATTTTCCCATGTTGGTGATCACTTTCAATGGTAATATTTAACTTATTTAGAATGTAAACAGGAAGCTGGGTATTAGTGGCTCATACCTATAATTCTAGCTATACAGGATGCTGAATTCTTTAGATTGTGGTTCAGAGCCCGCCCAGGCAGACAAATCCTAGAAATTTCATCTCTAATTAATCTTAAGTGTGTTCAAGTGGTAGAGGGTCAGTTATGAACCAAGGCAAGAAGGCATTGGTTTGTATTATGTATGTCACTCCATCACCTAGAACAGTTACACATAAGAGGTACTCAAGCAATATAACCTAAATAAATTAATTTGGAGTTTAATAAAGCCTAAATATTATACAGAATTACTCCTATTACTTCATTTTAAATCCAAAAATGAAGGGTTTATGACATAGGTGAGAATGATCATCTTATCCTTCTTTCTTGTGACAAGGTAACTTCAACCAAGCTTTTCTTTTAGTACACTAACACTTTCTAGTAATTCTCTTCCTGTTGTCTGTCATGCTGTACTAATGTTCTCCATAAATTGTCTATTGTAGTGATCTCTTTCAGAGGAATAGAGATGGACCTGCCTTAGGCTCAAAATTTGTCATGTTTAAAACATTCCCAACAGCTGATCACAGGCTGATACTAAAACAAAATCATTCTTAAATCAAGAATAGTCAATTCTGCCTAAAGAAATAGCATTAAGTGAAGAAAAAAGGCAGCCTGTTGAGTCAAACAATTACAAATTGATAAAAATGAGGAGTACAATGAGGGGGACAAATATTTTCAGGCAGTAATGGAAAATGAAGATGGAATTAGGCAAGGGACCAATAAACAAGTTGACCATACATGCATAGGAGAATAGACATTAAGTTATATCCCTTAGGTTACATCCCATATATAGTTCTTAATATTCGTAACTTTCCTTCCAAGACCACAAACAATCTAAAAATCTCTGACAATGCTTCTTCCACTCAAAGAGGCCCTTAACACTACAGATTCTCACAATTTAAAGACCCCGTCTGACAATAGAAACAAGGAAGTATTATAAGAACTACTCCTTCCAGTGACAGGTTATTTCTAAATCAAGCTGTTTGTGCATTTGTTTGTGTAATGGGCTTTTGTTGTTTTGAACTTTTTTTTGTTTGGTACTGACATTTGCATTCAGAACCTCATTCCTTGTAGGCAGTGCTCTTATCACTTGAGCCACATCCCCAGACCTTTTTATGCTTTATTTTTTGGATAAAGTCTCACTTTTTTGCCTGGGGCCGGCCTCGGACTGCTATTCTCCCACCTATGCTTCTCTCATAGCTGAATTACAGGCATGTGCCACCATGCCCAGCTTATTTGTTGAGTGGAGTGTCGGTAACTTCTTGCCCAGGAACTTCAATCCTCCTGATTTCCGCCTCCCGTGGTGTGCCACCACGCCTTGGACATAAATCAAGTATTTTGGGATATTTCTTATATAAGAAAATTCCCATAATCTACAAAAAAGGATTATTCAAATATTGTCAAACTGTCCATGTATACTTTAATTCAGCTCACAAGATTATTACATTATGAAGAATATTTTTACATAAAGATTTTTATTTTTTAAGATGTTAAATTTAAAAAATAGCATTCCATTAACTTGATGTTATACAGTAAGTCATCATATTCACTGTGGTATGCTCTGAAATCTACCAGCCCTAACCTAAATTCTAATTCATCATGGGACAAATTAAATTTTGTCCACCCTTGGAATTCAAGTTTATTTTATGTTCTTAAGCTCAAGGTAATCGTGGTACCTATTAAAATCTAAAGGAACATTTGAATCTCTGTTTTTGTCTATATTAATGACTTGTAGGCTTCATTCTCACAGTTCATTATTCCTATATTCCTATATAGAAAACTCTCAACAACACCAGGATTAGTGTGGCTCAAGCCTGTAATCTCAGCTACTTGGGAGGCAGAGATCAAGATGCTTGCAATTGGAGGATAGCCCAGGAAAAAGCTTAACAAGATGTCATCTTAATCAGCTAGTCAGAAATGACAGCACCCATCAATGATACCACCTACAAAGGAAGCCCTAGGGAAGAGGACTGAAGTGTGAAGCCACCCTGAGCAAAAGTGTAAGACCCTATCTGAAAAATAACTAAAGCCAAAGAAGGTGTGAGGGGAGGTATGGTTTAAGTGGTAGAACTCCTGCCTAGAAAGCAGAAGGCCTTGAGTTCAAATGCCAGTACCACCAAAAAATGCTTCAAGGGACAGGCTAAAAAAACAATGTTTTTCCCTGATCCTGTATCTCCTGAGGCAAATTTAATTATGCTTTCACATTATTCAAACTATCCATATAGTACTTATCACAACATATTGTTAGCTCTCCATTAACTTATCTTCTCTGCTAGAATGTCTGACCTGAAACCACTCACTTGTAAACAAAACTCAAACTAAATTATACACATAAAATTATGAAGTGAACCTATACATATATTTTTACCTGATAAAACTTGAATTTGAACCCAAGAATATGACACAGTGTTTGCGGTTCACACATACTCATGTAAGATTCTAATAAAGATATAAAGAAGTCATCGTGTTCTGGCCTGCATTCAAATACTTCTAAAATGACATCCAGTACTCTGTTGGGATCCAGATTGAAGCATCCTGTAACAGATGAAATATACACATGTTCAAAAGTTGTTATGTCATTTCTAGTAAGGCCATTAGCTTTTAGCAATAACCAAAATAACAGTGTTTTAACTTAGTAAATTTTTTTTAAGTTGGCTTCCTCTTCTTCAGACAACACATTCTACAGATGAAAATGTAACTTGACTAAGATCACAAAATAGGTTTATGGCAAGCAAAAGGGTGAAATCCAACACCTATAACATGACTTAAGTAATTTTCTTCTATATTGTAGCACTGCCTCATCAGTTCTTGATCACTCAGGCAAATGAAAGAGATCAACACTATTAATTCTTAGCAAACCATGAAAATCAAACAATGCATTTGATAAGTTAGACAAATAAAGGGATTTACATATTTCTTTTAGGCAGAAGAGTTTGGAATGTTAATCAACAAAAGTTTAGGTTCATGAAACTGGACCACCGTCATTCTTAGAATCAATAATTTAGTTTATCTTACATATATAACACAGTTGTAAAATATAAGCATTACAGGTAGAGGAGGGAGGTAAAGGAAGGGAAAGAAACACTGTGCACTGTTATCCATGTTAATCTCCTATGGTGAACTAAAAAGGGCCAATCAGACATGGACCTGGTAAAACTTCAAGCTGTCATTCTATTCTTTTTTTATTTTGTCAATCATAGGGCTTGAACTCTGGGCCTGAGCACTGTCCCTCAGCTCTTCAACTCAGGGCTAGCATTCTACCACTTGAGCTACAGCACCACTTCTGGTTTTCTGGTGGTTTATTGGAGATAAGAGTTTCAGGGCCTCTCCTGCCCCACTGGTTTTGAACTGTGATCCTCAGATCTCAGCCTCCTGAGTAGCTAGGATTACAGGCGTGAGCCACTGGTGCCCGGGTGTCATTCTACTCTTAATATATCAGTAACTCTATATGCATTTTGCTTCTGCTGTTACCATGATGACATTGTGTACAGACACAATGTACAGACACCATTTGTATGAAAAAAAGAAAAATAATTTAATTCATAGAGGCAATTCTATACCCTATTTCTCTCAAAACATGTTCATGAGCCAGGTACCAATGGCTCCCACCTGTAATCACAGCTACTCAGTAGATTGAGATATAAGAATCATGGTTCAAAGCCAGCCCATCAGGCAAATCCATGAAGCTCTTATCTCCCATTAACCAGCAAAAAGCTAGAAGCAGAAATATAGTTCAGGTGGTAGAGCCTTATGCAAAAAAAACCTAAGGCACAGTGCCCAGGCTCTCAGTTCAAGCCCCAGTACCTGCACCAAAATATATGCATATATTCTTATGACCCACAATGTGTATGACATATCTGTTTCCTTAGGTTTATATCTGTTCCAATGTGTTATGTATCAAATGGAATGGAATTTTAAGTAACCCATATACTATGCTCTGTAATTCCTAATTAAAGTAGTAATGTAGAAAAATGTTTATATTTTTATTTATAACACCTAAGTACAAACTAATCATTTCACTGAAACAGAATATAAACATCTTTTGTTTTTGTTTTTTTGCAAAATCCTGGGACTTGAACTCAGGGCCTAGGCGCAATCCCTGATTCTCTTTGTGACCAAAGCTAGATTCGACCACTTGAGTCACAGCACCATTTCTGGCTTTTTCTGTGATTAATTGAAGATAAAAGTCTCACAAACTTGCCAACCCAAGGTTGGCTTTGAACCATGATCCTCTCAGCAGCTGCTTGAGTAGATAGCATTAGAGGTGTGAGCCATCGGCGCCTAGCAAACATCTATTTTTAATGCTAGAAAAAATACAATAGTGTTTGACTGAGGAACATGTGTGAAATTTAAACACTTGTACCTTATGAATGGCTTAGATTTTTCAAAGAAAATTTATAACCTGCTAACTTATTCCCACTCGAACACTTTTGTAAGACTTTCAAGAGCTGTATCTATCAACTTCACTCAATTCAAGTTTTAACAATCGGAAAACTAAATACTTCAAATACAAGTATTACTAATGATACATTTTCTTCCATTTGTCAGACTAAGGAAAAGAAGGACAAAAGCTGTGATATCTTACCAAAAAAGGGCTTCAAATTTTCATAAATTCTCTAAAAAAGATACATCATAAAGTTCTGGGAGAAAAACCTAAATATTTGCCTTCTGCTATACTCCCAAACATAAAACTGACTCCAAAAAACAACTACAAGAATCCTTAAATGCTGCTGGAAATATAAAGTTTTAAAAAAAACTGGGAATATGGCTTAGTGGTAGAGTGCTTGTTTGACATGCATGAATCTCTGGGTTCCATTCCTCAGTAGCACATAAACAGAAAAGGCTGGAAGTGGTGCTATGTCAAGTGGTAGAGTGCTATCCTTGAATAAAAGAAGCTCAGGGACAATGTCCAGACCCTGAGTTCAGGCCCTAGGACTGGAAAAAAAAAACTACCTAGCTAAAACTGATAGCTTCTTTAAAAAATGATAGCTTCATTAAAATTGAAAAACATATATTTTAGTCATTACATACCTAGGCATTACCCAAAAGAGGAAGGGAAGGAAGCAGAAAGGTTGGGTATTCAGAAATAAAAAGTGAAGAACTGTCTGGGTGCTAGTGATTCACATCTGTAATCCTAGCTACTCAGGAGGCTGAGATCTGAGGTTCATGGTTCAAAGCCAGCCCGAGCAGTAAAGTCCATGAGACTCTTATCTCCAATAAACCACTAGGAAACCAGGAAGTGGTGCTGTGGCTCAAGCAGTAGAGTGCTCACCTTGAGCTGAAGAGTACAGGGACAGCGCCCAAGCCCAGAGTTCAAGCCCCATGACTAACCAAAAAAATAAAAATAAGGCACTGGGAAGGTGGCTCAGCGGTAGAGTGCTTGCCTTGCATACATGAGGCCCTGGGTTCAATTCCTCAGCACCAAGTAAGCAGAAAAAGCCAGAAGTGGGGCTGAGGCTCAAGTGGTAGAGCGCTGGTCTACAGCTGAAGAGCTGGGGGACACAGGCCCAGAGTACAGGCCCCATGACCAACAACAACCCAAAAAAAAAAAAAGGTGAAGAACTACTCATACAGACAACAACCTATAAAAATCACAAAATAATTATAGTTGAATAACAATGTCAAAATGAAATAAGCTAAATAAAAATACTATATACTGTATGATTGCATTTACAGAAAATTCCAGTAAAAAAAAAAAAACTAGTCTATACTGTCAGAAAACAGATCTGGCCTCAGGAGAAAAGAAATAGAGAGGGAGATAACACAAACAAGTAAGAGAAATCTTGGAGCTGACTGATAAGAAAGACCACCATCTTGTTTGAGAGGTGTGTTTGAATAGATAGATTCATGCAGGGCTGGGAAGGTGGCTCAGTGATAGAGTGCTTGCCTCGCATGCATGAGGCCCTGGGTTTGATTCCTCAGTACCACATACACATACACAGAAAAAAACGGAAGTAGGTACTGTGGCTCAAGTGGTAGAGCGCTCGCCTTGAGCTGAAGAGCTTAGGGACAGCACCCAGCCCCAGAGATTAAGCTCCATGACTGACAAAAAAAATACATTCAGGTACAGTTATAAAACATCAATTATGCCTTAGTAAAACTGAAAAATACTAATTCTGTAATAGACAACAGATTATAAAAGTCCATTCCAGCAAAATTTTGCAATCTTTTCACTTCTACATTTAATATACGAATACATTGCTAAGTTGGATACTGGTGGCTCATGTGTTTAATCCAAGCTACTCAAGCAGCTGAGATCTCAGGATCACAGGTCAAAGGCAGACCAGGCAGAAAAGTCCGTAAGATTCTTATTTCCAATTAACCAGCAAAATATCAAAATAGATCAATACTCTGAAGCAAAAAATTTAAACAAGAAATAAGCAAGAGCTCAAGGCTCAACCACAGTAACCAAAACACACACATACAAAATAGAAATTTTTAAAAGAAATCACTAAGTGGCATGCACATCTGAGGGAAGGTGGGAGCAGAGCAGAGGATCAGTAGAAAACAGGTAAAAAATACAACAGAGAGGCCCATCAGTTGCACTGGACAACTCAAGGCAGTGGTGAGGGAGGGAATGAAAGAGAAATGGAACAGCTGACACTAAGCAAAAGGAAAGAAATATACATACCACCTGATTTTTATTTATTTATTTTTTTTGGGTCCGGTTGTGGGGCCTGAACTCTGGGCCTGGGCGCTGTCCCTCTGCTCTTCAGCTCAAGGCTAGTGCTCTACCACTTGAGCCACAGCGCCACTTCCGGCTTTTTTCTTTTTGCTTATGTGGTGCTGAGGAATCGAACCCAGGGCCTTGAGCATGCAAGGCAACCGCTCTACCGCTGAGCCACCTTCCCAGCCCATACCACCTGATTTTTAAGAAATAGTTTCTTTGTTAAAGGTCATAGAGCTCATAAGCTAAGTAGATTAAAATAATGATGACTATCATTGTGAAGATTAAAAGGCATCTGTGTCTGTAGCTAAGCATAACTATGCTAAAGTATTGTGAAATTTATGTAGTCACTTAATCTCAATGAAATATTGAAGAGGGGGTAACAATGCTCGATAGGAAATGTAATTATTACCTTACTCATGTAACTGTAACCCCTCTCTACAGTATCTTTACAATAAATTTATCTAAGTATATATATAAAGAAATGTTTGAACCCTCTGTACATTTTTTCACAATAAAAAATAAAAAAGAAATGTACTCATTATCTTGCCCATGTAATTGTAACCCTTCTGTACAGTATTTTCACAATAAAAAATAAATAAATAAAATGTTTGAAGAAAAAAAATCACTGAGCAAAAATGAACAATACTATACTATTATAAAGGACAATAAAGTCACTGAATATTAATTCTGAAAAATAGGCTGGCATATTCATTAGATGATATATACAAAATCTGTAAAGAATAAAAAGGCAACAATGGATGCACTTTTTCAAGTATTTCATTCAGATTACTTTGAAGTTCACATTTTAAATATGCAGAAATATAATCACTGACATTATGTTTAACAGTAGTAATTCAGCAAGGCT